AATGGGAGGAGGCAGCATTGGGAAGATTTTCCCCCCTGTTCCCACGCACGCTCGCGCCCCGCCTCCCGAGCCCACTCGAAAGACTGGGGGGGATGGGGCGGGCGTGTGTCTGTATCGCGGAGTGAGTAACACCTCCCTCGCTCGTTGCACCACCCCCCACAACACACGGCCCGTCCACCCCGCCCCCCCATTGAGTTCCCGCAATGGTTGCGTCCGTGACGACACCATCATGGCAACAGCAGCTGCCGCCCGGGGCCGGGGCGCCGCCGCCGCCGCCGGGCCGTTCGGCAGGGACGCGCGCGCACTGCCCCTGAGGCGCGCGCGGCCGCACGCCTTGTAGGAGCACGCGCGGGGCGCGCCGCCGCGCACGCGCCCGGAGCCGCCGCGGCGGCGGCACCACCAAGCAGCGGGGGAGGGGCGTGGGGATAGCAGAGGCACGCGCAGAGAAGGCGCGTGCTGGACTGTGCGCGCTCCCGCGGAGCGTGCGCGCGCGCTCCGGCAGGCGGGCGGGCGGGCGGGCGAGGAGCGGCAGGCGCGGGGGGGCTGCGCGCGCGCGCGCGCTCGCTGCGGCGGCGGCGGGCGGGGGGAGCCGTGCGGGCTCCGCGCTCGCTCCGCGCTCGCTCGCTCGGTGCTGTGGCGGTGCCTCGGCGGCGGCGGCGGCGAACAAACATGTTCTCAGTGCGGATCGTGACTGCCGACTACTACATGGGCAGCCCGCTGCCCGGCCTGGACCCCTGCCAGTCCAGCTTCCGAGAGGCCCCGGCCAGGCGGGTGCCCGTCGTGAGAGTCTTCGGCGCCACCCCTGCAGGTAAAGGGTGACCCCCCCCCGCCGCCGCCACCGACGGGCGGGGATGTCCCCCCGCTGCAGCGCCGCGGGTCGTGCCGGCGCCGGCCCCGCCGCCGCCCACCCCGCGGCGGAGGCAGCGGCGGCTCCCGCTCTTTGTGGCTGGGTCGCGCCCCCCCCTTCGCGCCCGCCGCCGCTGCGGCGTCTCACCTGCCGGGGGGAGCGGG